TAATGCTATTTCTACTGCATCATCTGGTTTTATCTGACCTCCCATGATTCTATGGAGTCTTACAAAACTCTTTTGATCTTTAGGAGATAATTTTCTGTATGGAGTCCAGGTATTTCATATCAACCTTAAGTTCACATAAACATGTGCCCATTTGGATTACTTAGAAGAGACTGAATTAGAGAGTCTGACAAAAAAAAGGTTTTCTTTTGTTAAGTTCAAACATAGTTTGTATCAACTTATACATGTAAAAGAATAAATGTGTATATACATATTAAATGTGTACAAATAATACAGGGGAGTAGAAAGAAGATATATTTTTAAAATTTACATTGTCTTTCTTTTCCATACATCATTCATCTAGTCTACATTATGCTTTTAGGTTTTAGCTAATTTGTGTTCAGGGAGTGTAAATTTGCTTAAGAATCTATCAAAGTAAAAAGTGATTTAATAAGTAATTTTTTTCCAGAAAAATTATATAGATATGCCCATACATACACACATAAACATAAACATACACATAGAAAACTATATAGATTTGAAAATAAAATATCTATGTTGATGTGTGTAAGTCTGTGTACATACGCAGACACATATATGTATATATATACACACACATAATCTATATTATTTTTGTGATGTTACTTCTATCAACACAGATAACTGTGGAACTACACCTATTATTTGTATTGGTATTTTCAGACACACACGAGACTTTTATTCCCTACATGCTTCCTTGTTTAAACATAAGTATTTATTTATGTCTTGAAGGTATTTGCAGGCGCCTTTGGGGACAGCGTCTCTGGTGGTTTTGTGCTTAGTCTACATTTACATTTTAATCTACTGTCTGCAGGCTTCTTTGTAAACCCCATAACTCAAATGTGTAGATCATTCAGAATTTAAGGTGAATTAATAGTATGGCTCTTTGGGTCACAGAAAACACTATTACGACAACAATCTAAACATTTAAGGGGAAGAATCTTAAAGTCATGTCATAGTTTCTTTTTTAATATTTTTCAAAAAGTAACTGACTTCACAAATACCAGCGCTAACATGATTTAGACAACTGAGAAACAGGCAAGTGTATCTTAAAGTACTAAAATAAAACACATTTATACAAGTACAAAGCAAAACAATGCTGATAGAAATGTTAAACTTTATGAAAAAATCATTTGCAATTCACATCAAAATAATTTAACATTCTCTATCGTTTTAATAGCACAAGCTGCAACAACAGAAAAAAAAAAAGAAAAAGAAAAACATACACGCACACCATCTTAAAACCAAACCAGTTAAAGTGCAGAAAAAAGTAAGTACAAGCACTTGTAGCCCACACAAATCTTTTAGGATTGGCACCATCTCTCTAAAACATCTATATTCTATATAGATTTCTAATTACAACACCACCAGCAGCTGCCATTGAATTCTAGAAATACACACAATATACATAGTATATTTGTTCACATTGGGAAGATCAGTGAATTCAGCCAACTATATTATACATGCCTCATTCTTCAACAGATAGCAGAGCATCTCTCAGGCTTCAGACCCTCTTTAAAGTGAATTCCAACTTATCTTTACAGTTTTCACTGATCTGTATATTTTTCACAGTATAAAATTGTAAATGGTAACTATTGAGATTCAGACAGCTTGAGGGTTATTAATAAGCTGTGGCTAAATGTGAACTCAGGTAATAACCTTTGAAGTCTCCGAAACACGTACATTTTGCTGGGAGAGTAGCACAGGAAATTTTTTTATTTTAAGAGTTTTATTCCTGGTTTGGAAGTCACAGAATTGCAGCAGAGCCATTATACAATTCATTGAGAGTCAGAGATAGTTCCTAGTCTTTCTGATCACATGCTGGTAACAGCAGAAACTTGGGAAAGACTGTTACTGACAAGGATTAGCACATTCAGGGGTCTGCTTTTTTCTCTTTGCTTCAGTCAAATCTCACATGGTTTTTCTTTCCACACACCCTCTCTGTTCCCCACCCCTAACCCAGAGAGGTGGTTCTGCTTCTTCGCAGGGCAGACGCGGTCTTCTCGGGCGGTCCCCACTGCTTCCCACAATAGAGAGTGCGTGGACTGCTCAGATAGTCTGTTCAACTTGATTGAACCAGGTCTTCTCTTTTTAATCCTGGGACCAAACTGTCCTTATGGTCGCTTTTCTGAAACTCAGCATTTCCCTGTACTTTCCCCTTCCCTTGAGTCATGCTGGTCCCACCTGAATTATCACTGGGCACCAGGAACAGATTGTTTTCTAGGAAATTCAATGAAAATAGGTACTCAAATGAATTGTGAAGTTCATATCCTAGCCCTAGAATGAATATTCAGTTCTCTTTTGTACTGTAGATTTAACTTGGAACCTGGTATTAGAATTGGCAAAGAGACAGAGTTAGTATCATTCCAAAATAAAAGATCCCAAGAATGCATTACCAATAATATTATATATTATACAATGTATTGAATGAAGTGGCAAAGGGTTATATAAATACACAGAAAAATACCTCTTGTTCTCCTCTAATTAGATAAATTATTTTTCTTATGTTGACTATTAATTTATATAGAATTATATGATGGCAATTTATTCACATTAAATTTTAATTTCTAATGAATTTTCTCATATGGTAGTATACTTTTAAAGGAAATATGTTACTAAAAAAATAGAAAATGAATTTGATCATGGAGAAAGTTTTAAAAATGTTTTCCTGTTGGTCAACACAGTGAAACTTGTATTGAGAAAACAGTAGAAACCAATATAAGGGTTCTTTGAAACAAATTTAAAAACTTAGATAGAGCATACTTAGGAAGGTTTCAACGCCTAAGAAATCAAGACAGTAACCCCCAGGTGAATGCCACCCTTTTGATGAGAATCCAGGGATATTAATATTTACTTCAAAATATTTACATTTGTTTTTGAAGTAGAGGCAGACATTTGCTTTCAATTAAACCACAAAACTTAGCTAGATTGACTGTTTCAAGAGTCTCATAATAGGTGGGAACAAGGGGCTCCAACGATGCTATTTTCAAACTTGCACAGGAGGTTTGATTTTTTAAAAAATTATATTCTAGTAAATTAACATTAACTTTTTAATGTTTTATATTGGGAGATTTGATTGAATATAATTTAATACGAGAATAGTTATCAGGAAAGGTAAAACAGTGTATTATAAGGTTTAAAAGTAGAGAATGATAAATTATGCTAATAGATATATTTTCATTTCTCAATTCCGTCTTTTAAGTAGATGTGAAATAAAAAATACCAAATAAGGATATTGAGCAAAAGGAAAAAGGTTTTTATTTATTTTTCTCTCTGCTAAAAATATACTTCTGCCTCACAGCAAATCTTTCTCATAAGGCTATCTTTAGTATAAGGCTGGGTCAACTGGACTTTAAATTTATAGGATACATCCTCCTTTTATTACTATCCTTATTTAAAAATCAGAAACATTTGGCACCTGAGGATAGCTGTAATGGGAGGAAGAAAGAGATGACGGTGGATGCAGGCTTTGAGCTGAATTCTATCTACAGGAGCCTATCAGAGCACAGATATGTCTACTATAACTTTAAACCTCTTTTCTGCAGTTTTTAAAAAGTGACAGTAAGTATGAAGTGCACAAAATTATATTCATAATTATTTTAAAAAGGAAAATATTAATAATTGCTTTGCCTCTTTTTGGAATGGCTAAGAAAGATTGTGTGGTTTGTATCTGTTAAGGTTCCTCTGTTTTAGTTTTCTGTATTGCTTTGAAAAATCTACATGTGTCATAGTTCATAGCTGCCCTGTTTAAGCAGCCAAGAAAAGTTAAAATCACTGCTCACTGGCATAGCTAAATCTCTGCTAAGCCGACTTGACAGTTGAAAGTCTCCAGTGTGTTAAGATTGTGTTAATTTTCTGAACAGTCCCTCCAATCACGACAGTGTCTTCATCGGGTCTACGGACCACTCTTCCAGTGGTGGGACTTAAAAAGAACAGAGGAGCTCTTTGTGCATCAGGTTCTCAAAAAAAAGGAATGAAGCCCAAATGCATATTTTAAATATTTTAGCTGGCAATGCATTCATAATGAGTGGCCACATTTCATGAAAGAGATAGCCAAGCTGGAGCTCAAGAATTATTATTAGAAAGAGAATTTCCAGCTACACAACGCACCCCAGTGAGGGAATTACAAAACAGTATTCCAGAAAATATTTTTTGCTACTCCAGTATTGATTGGCAACATGGTGAAATAGTCAAGAAATCTTCCACTGGTTTTCTTGGTTAATGGAGGTGAACTGAAATAACTAGGTGGAATCCAGGATGCAGGCTTTTGGAAGAGGAGGTCACAACTAAATTGGAAAGTGTCTGGTAAAAGCCCTACATACATCAGCGTGGCCCTCATCACACAGTTGCATGTTGCCCATGGGACACACTCACATCAACGCCTCAGCAAATACTGGGCCCAAGTCTGCTTTCCAAGGTCTTAAAGGAAAGAAAAAGGAAAAAAAAAAAAAAAAAGTAGAGAAAGGTTGACGTTTTGGTCCCAGATTTTGAGTTTGTTAGAAAATGTACATTCATGTTTGGTGAATCAAAGAATCTTCTGGGAAAAGAATTAAAGTAAACAAACAAAAAAAAATTTTTTTTTTTACAGTTTCTTATTAACTATGCCTTTTCAACCCTCCGTTTTGCTGTTTCACACTCCTTGCTTCCCTAGAGCAAAGCACTTGGGATGTAACTGGTTCAACAGACTCCTCGTGAGCCCTCAAAAGTAGAAGCGGTGTTTCTTAAAAGCCCATGTTTTCTAAGGCCACTAGAAGAAAATCTGCCGAAAGATTTGTGGTTGGTGTCTTCGTCGGTGGATGGTAGATAGCACTCTTGATCTTGTTTCCACTGTGGGTGTACGCGATGTCTTCCACCTCGGCGTCTTAAGCAGGCGCCCAGGCCTGTCCTTGCTGTCTGTGGGGACACCGGAGGGTCTCGGCTCCTGGGGGCGGCGGGGGGGACCCCAACATGGTTTCCCAGGACATTCACAAGGACGAGGAGCTCTGGGTGTAATCTCTGATGATAAGCGTGTCGTACTTGGGAGACGACGGGATACACAGGGCCGACTCGGACACCGGCGAGTTGGGGGTGGTGCTCCCAGAATCCACCGAGTCCCTGAAGGGGGACGGCGGCGTGAGCGCCACCAGCTCCTCCAGGTCCGCCTTGCCGGCCGCAGCCTCGGGCCCGGCCGCCGCCGCCGAGGGGGAAGGCTCCCGGGTGGCGCCCTCCGCCGGCGGGGCCTCGGCGGCGGGGGGCGGCTGGATCTCGGCGAACGTGGTCATCACGGCGGCGGGCAGCTGCATCTCCGTGGGGATCAGGTAGGCCGAGCAGAGCGCGGCGCCCGCGCCGGGCGCCCCCGGGGCAGCCAGCATCATAGAGTTGAGCTCGCTGATGTTGGCCGTGAAGCGGGTCACCACGCTGCTGATCTGCTCCAGCAGCGAGCCCTGAGACGAGCTGCTGCGCGCCGCGGGCTCCGAGCGCAGCGAGCGCGCGTCCTCGTCGTCGGGGCAGCCGCCCGCGCGCCGGCTCAGCGTGCTGATGGGCGACGGCGCGCGCGGCGCGGCGCTGCTCTCCTCGGCCTCGGCCGCGGCGGGGCGCGCCTTGGGGCCGGCGTCCGGGGGCTCGGGCCCGCCGCCGCCCGCGCCCCCCACGCCGCGGCCCTCCGGGCTCTTGGGGAAGGGCTTGATGACGGCCGTCTGGTTGGGGTTCTCCTTCTTGTTGATGTGCACCGACAGCCTCTGCCACAGGTGCTGCCCGCGGCTGCTCTTCTCGTTCTGCGCCCAGGTGACCGACTTGCCGTTGGAGCTGCGGAGAGAAGGCAGAGGAGAGGTGACTGCGCGCTCCCCCGTGGTGGTGGTGGGGCTGGGGGCCTGTGGGACTCGCACTGGGGACAGGAGGCATCCGAGGACACCAGGGGAAGAGATCTGGGAAGGGCCTTTCGCTGCCTTTGAGTTCAAGGCTGCTTTCTTGCCTCTGGCCTTCCGTTCATCATTACCGCGAAAGGATGTCGAAGGGGATACTAGGAAGGTTAAAGGGGTTGTTCATGGGAACCCTGGAGGAGGAAATGGCAACCCACTCCAGTTTTCTTGCCCGGGAAATCCCATGGACCGAGGAGCCTGGCGGGCCGCAGACCACCGGCTCGGAAAACCATCCAAGAGGCCTTGCGACTGAACAATATCGTCAGTTCCGCCGTAGTTCTAGCCTAGCCGGGAGTGTCGCAGTTGGTTTAGTTGCAAACCTGGAAGCAAGGGCTTGCAGTATTGTGTTTGTTTGTAGACGTGCCCAGTACACAGCCCGGGCGTCCTAAAGTGGGGAGCCTCTGAAAGGAAACGTTAGAACTGGGAGCACCCCTCAACCTGATCATCAGAGGGGACCGTAGAGGTAGGAGTCGGGGGTCACCAGGAAGGAGATAGTGCTTTCAATTCAGTTTTTATTCTGCAGGTCAGTGGTTGGTGCATTTAACTAGGGTTTACTGTAAGAACTCCTGACTGGGAACACAGTTTTACTTAGTCTGACTTATGGGGTGGAAAATACAAATTCAGTGAACAGGTACACTGATTTATAATTAGAACTTTTTTTTTTACCTCCTAGAAACTTTCCTCACACATTTATTTTTAGGCCTAAAAGTTGAATAACAATTCTGCCAGGGAGCATGCAGTATTATTGCCCTTGGCAGCTGGCATACTGTGTTCAAATTAGGGTCCTGATGAGTATTGCCTGACTGACATGGTTTCTTAGAGCCTTTCTCCTGCCTCTCTTTCCCAAGTAATCCTTTCTGGTCTCCCCTCTGGGAACTGAAATCTGCTCTGCTGAAAAAAGCCTCTAATGAGTTGATGCTTCAGCCTTACAGACAGACAGCTTGTACCCTCCTACCCTCAAAAAAAAAGAGACAACTGCCTCTCCGAACACAGACTTTCTATCAAGAAGTTCACTTATGTTCAGAGGATGTGGCCTGACCTTCAGGGAGGTGATATGGAGAGGTCCTGGTGTGATTTACCCCCAGGAAGGAATGTGAGCGCTCTGTAACTAGGGGGTCTGTTATGTCCAGACAGCTCTGTTCTAGGTGCTGTGGACCTAAGAGATAGCCCCAGGCAGTCTCTAAACAAAGGCTTTAGCCATCGGATTTGATTATCTCAGCTGGTGGTTATTAAACTTAATAGCATATAGGACTCACCTGTGGTATTTGTCATATACCCGGGCGGGACCCCAGAGATTCTGATTGTCTAGATTGGGTTCCATGAATCCATGCATTTGACAAGCACTCTGCTTCCCTAAAGTGATTCTGCAGCTGGTGTTTCACAGACTAAGAAACTCTAACAAGAAGTTATTCTTTTTCTCTGAGTTCCTGTTGTTCCATTGGCCTCTTGGCTGAAGGGCTGGCCGGCCTTTGCCACCGAATTGTGTTTGGAGCCCAGCTGCCTTGGGACTGCCGACTGCAACTTTGAGAGCCTCTCTTGCTTGAGACTCCGTTGATAACAGACCACTGTTTTTACAGCCCCTATGACAAGCATACTTCCTGCCTCTTTGCCACACTGCTTCCCATGTCTTCATCTGTCCCTTTCCACTCTGTGGTCTTCCTGTTTTTTCTTTCTACTGAAATCCCAGTCCATTTAATCTAGCCTGTATTTTGCCACCTGGTGTCCTTCAAAATTCCGGAATATGAGATATCCTCCCCACCCTGCCCCAATGGACATTATTTCCAGGTATAGAAGGGACCCTGCTAACCTGTAAACTTTCCAGAGAGTTTAGGTTTTCTTTTTTTTTTTCATTAACCTGACCTGCCACCCTTTATGTTTTCAGTGCCTCACTTTTCTTCTTCCCAAGTGTTCACTAACTTCTAGAACATGGCACAGGAGAAATGGGCCACACGATGTATGGGATTTGATTGGGAACACGGTTGCCAGCAACCCCGTTTCTCTCCTGCTGGCAGGATATGAAATAGACAAGTCTGGAGGGACAGTTAGTCTTTCAGGTAGCTGAGGCCGCTTTTGCTACAAAGCTCAGGTTAGAAGCTAGAAGTGTAACTGGATTCACTCTACCAAGCTTTACACTAGGGAAGCTCTTGCCCCCAGACCACAGAGGTTTTGATGGAACGTAACCCTAACAGTCCTGGGTGTTCATTGGAAGGACCGATGCTGAAGCTGAAACTCCAATCCTTTGGCCACCTCATGCAAAGAGTTGACTCACTGGAAAAGACCCTGATGCTGGGAGGGATTGGGGGCAGTAGGAGAAGGGGATGACAGAGGATGAGATGGCTGGATGGCATCACCGACTCGATGGACATGAGTTTGAGTAAACTCTGGGAGTTGGTGATGGACAGGGAGGCCTGGCGTGCTGCAATTCATGGGGTCACAGAGTCGGACACAACTGAGCGACTGAACTGAGCCCTAACAGTGGCAGTCACTAGAATCCCAGGTAGTCAGGCTCCAAGACACCAGAGCAGGTGAAAAACCTTTGGGTGAATGTGTGGGAAGGAAACAGTCCCAACCAAGTGTAGGGAAAGAGCAGATTAGCCAAGATGGGATGGTCAGGCTCTCGCCCCACTGCATGTTTGGTAAGTAATGGTTATGTAACAGCTGCGTTCACTTAGGGCACTGTGCATGTGCCTCAGGAGGCAGTCACTTGCCCACAGGCTGCTTTTTTTGTGTAGGTATATAGAAAGTGAAAGGGAAGTCATGTCAGACTCTTTGCTCCCCATGGGAGCATGGTAGCCCACCAAGCTCCTCCGTCCATGGGATTTTCCAGGCAAGGATACTGGAGTGGGTTGCCATGCCCTTCTCCAGGGGATCATCCTGATCCAGGGATCGAACCCTGGTCTCCCACATTGTAGGCAGACGCTTTACCGCCTGAGCCGCCAGGGAAGCCCCAAGGTATATATAAGCTCCACCTTAAGAAGCCCTTGGGGCGTTAGGGCTGTGCTATGGCTATGTTAGGCTGGTGAGGCTGCGGAAGGGCTGTGTCCGCTGGGTCAACCAGGAGAGAATACAGCGTGTTTGCTGCTGCTACAGCCGCAGTGCCTGCACCCAGAGAATAAACGTGTCTGCAGTTCCTCTGGCTCCTCGAATTTTCTTCCAGCCTCTTAGCTCGCGCCTTGCTCACCACGGGTTCAGTGAACAGTGCAAAGAGTGTGATCAGCGAGACGGCTGGCATGGCCGGCAGGATCGGCCAGACACCAGGCCGCCTGCGCAGGGGACCGCCGTCTTTCCTGGCCGTGTCTCTGCTCCCAGAGTGGGGGCCTGTGGTCACACAGGAGAGAGCGCAGCAGGCAATCTGAATAACAGTGGAAATGGACACAGGAGACGCCGGAGACACGGAGTCCCTGATTGGACACTTCATTGCCTTTCTTGGGTCATGGGGTATTTTTTTTTTCCTGCAAAGCACATAGGAATTAAGAGAAAGCCGACCCTACGGCATTAATCAGTTTACTAGTAGAATGTGGTTTCCATGACCTTATCTGCCTTGTTCTGTGGCACACAGCAAGATCTTAACGGTTTGATGGAAGATTAGGATTTTTAAGCCAACAGGGCCATTGTGTGGTGTCCTGGAAAGTACAGTGGGCAAAGGATTCTAAAATCAGTGTTCTAATTCTGGATCTGTCATTCTGGATGCTTACAAAATAATAATCTCCTTAAGTCTCAATAAAAAAGCAGGTGGTGTAGACTTCATTTGGTGAAGACAGTTCTAAGGATTAAAGGAAACAACGAAAGTAAGGTATCTAAGAAGTTATTTTTTGCATTCTATGTGAATGCTAAGTTTCAAGAAACAAAAATAATATGTACAGTTGGCCCTCTATATCTGCGGTTTCCCGTCCCTGGCTTCAACCCAAAGCAGTCGGGTCTGCTGTTGGTTGAATCTGTGGATGCGAAACCTGAGGATACTGAATGCCAACTGCATTCATTTCACGGTGCCATTTGTGTCAGGAGTGTGAGCAGCTGGGCCTTTGGTCTCCATGGGGACTCCTAGAATCAATGACCAGGGGATGTGGAGGGCCCATTCTTCCCTGTGCTGTCTCGAGCTCTGCTTGAGGAAGCGAGAATTCAGTGCAAAGTCAGTATTTATGGTGATGCCCTAACACATTTCTGGCTGTTCCTCCTTAAACTGAGCGACTGTACCCAGCTGTGGAGTTACTTAGGGCTTTATCTGTGGCATGCCTTTCCTCCTAGCTGTCTCCTTGGGTGACCACCTCTACTCCACTGGATTCAACATCATTCCACTTTCAAAGTTTGCTTCTTCCTGCTCTTTCATTTGCACTCCCGCCTCTGCCTTTTTCTTCCTTTTTGCCTAAACAGTTCCTTTTTTTTTTTTTTGAACTTTACCTTCATTGCTGCTTCTTGAAGGAAGATTGCCTGATGCCATCCCTGACCAGGTTAGATTCCTAGAGTCCCTGCCTTAGGCACTGAGTAACTCTGTGGTGCGTCCATCTCATCTGCGGGATGGAGTGTTTTGAAGACAGATGGTTTTCCTGTTATATAATACCCAGTTCGTTGTTGTTGTTCAGTCGCTAAGTTGTGTCAACTCTTTGCAACCCCATGGATGGTAGCCCACCAGACTCCTCTGTCCATGAAATTCTCCAGGCAGGAATACTACAGTGGGTTACCATTTCCTTCTCCAGTGCATCTTCCTGACCCAGGGAGTAAACCCATGCCTCCTGCTTAGCAGGCAGATTCTTTACCATGGAGCCATCGGGGAAGCGCCATTGCCTGCTCAGTAATATTTTTTGGCTCATAATTGAGTAGATAAATCCTTTCCATTCTTAAAAAGTCATACATTCATAATTATTTTTGTTAGAATTAAGTTTTAAAAAC